TCAGTAGTCAGTGTCTTGTCTGTCCAAATGCTGGTCGGCTGGTCATTACAATGTATTATAGGTAGCTGGAAAAAGCTCCTCTTACATGATGACCATCGTGATGTTGTTGCTGATGATGGTGATGGCAACCACCAACCGGGTGGATGATATTACCAAAAGAAATGGTAGCCACCACCAACACGAAGAAGAAAAAAAGCAGGCGAAACATCATAATTGAAAGCGTCTCTTATTACTGATGGCATTTTTGGTGGTTGTGGTCTATGACAATGACCAACCAGCCAGTCATCCAACACCAAGGCCCGGCTAATATTGATGTTGCTAACTTTAAGGCGTTTTAATATTTTCTTAAATTGTAATTTAAATACCACTTTAGTCAACTGGAAAAAACATGACCACTGAACAAGACAAGGCATCAGCAGCGATGCTCCTGCAACAAAAACAACAACTTTAACAAAAAAGAAATATATAACAATCCCTCTCAAAGCCAGAGCAGCAATAAGAGCCTGCTACCAGTTGTTGTAGGTTGTGGAACTGGCCGGTTGGCTAGCTGCCTGGCGGATTGAATGACTAAGTGTGGCATGTTTTTTTTTTTGTTTTTTGGCATCGCGACTGGCTGTCAACTGGTCTCCACTGATCAAGTCTGGCCAGCTTGTACACATTTGAATTGAACAAGGAGCTCAAAATGAAAAGTGAAACAACACCAACAGTAACAGCAATAAACAAACATCCTAAACCGAGAAAAACAATTTCATTTTCATTTCACTTTACACGAGAAAATTGCAGTTAATTGAGGCGACATCAATTTAATCGATTTAAGTTTTACAACTCCACCGCGCAATAGTAATAGCAGCGACAGCGCAGCGACAGTCAATCAACCAGTCAGCCAGCCATGCAGCTATACAGCTAGGCCGGCAGTCAAGCCAAGCAAACGATGTAAATTACAATGGGTTGAATTTGCACTTGAAGGCACCAGCCTCTCACTCATCAACCACAAACGAACTGATGGTGAACCAGCGAAAACAATAAAACTTCTTCAAATTACAAAACGGACAGAATTAGAGAGGGGACTGTCAAAAATCGGTGACGTATTTAACATACAACGTTTGAGACAAACAGAAGGATACTAGAAAAGAGTTCAATAATTGAAGGAAGTCTTCTATAAAGACAAGATGGGGTAGAGAGTCTTCTATATACGAATTGGACGAAGTCTTATATAGATGAATGGAAAAAATGCAGAAGGAGTCTTCTATAGATGAGCCCATCCTTAAACGAACTAAAGAATGGAGTCTTTTATGGACGAGCTGAAGGGTGAAGACAAGGTGATGGAAGTATTCTATAGGCGAGATGTATGGTATCTTCTATAGACGAGCTGCAGTTAGTCATCCAGCTGACGGTGGTCTCTTCAAAAGTCAGTTGAAGAAGGTAGTCTTCTATATAAGAGCTAAAGAACGAGGTCTTCTATAGAAATATAAGAGTGTCTTCTATAGAAAAGCTAAAGAGGGTCTTTTATGTAAGAGCTGAAGAGGGGAGACTTCTATAAAAGAGTTGATGAAAGGGGTCTTCTTCTATAGAAGAGCTGAAGAAATGAGTCTTCTATAGACGAGCTGAATAAGGAGTCTTCAATAGAAGAGCTGAAAAAGGGAGTCTTCTATAGAAGAGCTGATGAAGGGAGTCTTCTATAGAAGAGCTAAAGAAGCGAGTCTTCCATAGAAAGAAGAGCTGAAAAAGCCTTCTTCTACAGAAGAGCTGAAGAGCTGATATAAGAGCTTCTATAAAAGAGTTGATGAAGGGAGTCTTCTATAGAATAGATGAAGAAGGGAGTCTTCTATAGGCGAGCTGAACAAGGAAGTATTCTGTAGAAGAGCTGAAAAATGGGTATTTAATAGATGAGCTGAATAAAGCAGTCTTCTACAGAAGAGCTGAAGAAGGAAGTCTTTTATAGAAGAGCTGAAGAAGGGAGCATTTAATAGATGAGCTGAAGAAGAGAGTATTCTATAGAATAGCTGAAGAATCTAATATAAAAGAGCTGAAGAAGGGAGTCTTCTGTAGACGAGCTGAGGAAGGTAGTCGTTAAAAGAAGTGCTGTTGGGAGTCTTCAATAGCCGAGCTGACGAGGGGTGTATTTAATAGTCGAAATGAAGGAGTAGTATTTCATAGTCAAGCGATCTTACCAGTTTAAGTAAATCTTTCTTTGAATTGAGTCTTCCTTTGACGATCTGAAGTAGTTTTCCATAGATGAGATGAAGGAAGGCAGGGTGCATCTATAGTCAAGCGGAGGTGGGTCATTTTAGATTAACTGACAAGCTAAGGGAAGTCCGCATGAAGTAGCATAGGGGCTTTTTATGCACTAGCTGCAGAGAGTCTTCAATATACGAACTGAGGTGATGTGTCACCTATAAATTAGATATATTATTTTATAAATGCCATGAAGCAAGAGAAGCTGAATCAAAAAAAAAACGTTTATATACGCGGGAACTGGAGACCAGCGAGTCTTTACAGACACGCTGGAAAATAGAGAATATTCTATAAACTGAAGGGAAAGAACCTATATGGAGTTGAAGGTCTACTGTAGAAGAGCTAAAAGACAGGGTAGTCTCTTCTATGTTCGGCTCAATGGAGTCTTCCACAGACGAGCTGAAGTTCAAGGAGTTTATATTAAATGTATACAGGATCGAGTGTATTCTATGCTCGCTTATAGAAGCAGCGAGTATTCATATGAGATCAGAAGGCCAGGGAGACGTCCATAGGCATGTTGAAGCATAGGCGATATTTTGAATAGGTGAAGTTCGAGAAGTCTTTATTGTATATAGGACCAGCAAGTCATAGAAGTTGAAGTTTAAAATGTTTTTTAGAAGAGTTAAAGAGAAGAGCCTTCTGTAGGTGGGTCAATGGGCAACAGTCTTCTATAGACGAGAAATAGACGAGGATGCTCAGGCTGAAGAACAGCATGGGCGTCTTCTGGAGACCATCCGAAGGGACATTGTGGGTATCTCCAGAAGGCAGACGAGCAGATTGCCAGGGACGAGCAGTTTTCTTCAAACATTGATCTCCTATCGATTGACTGAAGAAGGTGTCTTCGCAAAGAATTCATGCTGCTCGACTTTAGAGCAGAATCTAGGTTATCAGGAAAAATAAGACAATTGTTTTTTTAGTTGCACTGAAAGTCTTTTCTTTTTGGGCGAATATCTAAGGGTCTTCCAGAGAGACGACCTTCTGGTCTGCCGAGGAGAAACCCGTCTGGTCTTTAATGAAGAAACCTTCTGGAGTCTAATAAGGAAAAGGCGGCCTTCAGCTATGAGATCGTCGGAACACCTTGTGAATATACCTTGTTATTTTTATTTTTGTAGAATAATACCTCGACTTCCTGTCTTCCACAGAAACCCCTTCTGTTTATTCCTTCTGTTTTATAAGAAATCTTTTTATTGGCTTCCAAAAAGAAATCTTCCTTTTGTACACAAACACGAGCTTCTACCGTTCTAGAAAAAATACATCCAGTTTTATAAGAAAACTCTATGGCCTGCTAAAGAGACGGTCGCTTATGAAATCTTCAGATCTTGTATAAGAGGAAGATCTTTTTTTCTGTAAGAATACCTCAATATCCTGCTTTCTATGGAAAGACTTTACAGCTTATACAAGGCGATCCAACAGATCATCTTCATAACTAAATTCTGATCAGATATCTTCTATGCAAATAATTTGGAACATCGTTGAGGTGACCTGTGTTATCAGGAGATTATCTTCGTCGAAGACGACTACGATATAATACTTGTTCAGAAAATAATTATAGTAATTCAGTGTGAAAACCTTTTGATTTTAAGGGAACCAGGAAGATTTTTTTCCGTTTTGTGGGGAAATTTTGAATAAAGAACCAAATCGATGATTTCCTTTAGTAACAAATAAAGAATAAATCTGGCTATTCTATAAGAAATCCATGTAGTATGTTATGACTACTTCGACTTCGTATGTTCCATAGAAACTCCTTTCTATAAGCCACAATTATTTCAAAAGAAAAATTTCTTCTTCGAGGTCTTCGGTAAAAAAATATTCCTTCTTCTACAAAAAAAAAAAATCCCGACCAAATTTACCGTCACAGCCATGAAAAAGCTCCTTCCTTCCGTTTTTCCAAATCAACAAAACACAATGATGGCTAGCGGCCTGGCCTCATCATTTGTTGTTCACTATAGTTTGGAAAATTGTTGTTTAAATGCCATCACCAACCACACAATCAACATCGCCGACGTCGTCATCATTGTTTGGAGAAATGTTGTTGATGTTGTTGTTATTTTTTTATGATAGCTAGCGAGAGTTTGTAAAATAATGATTTACGAGATTATCAAAATTGTTTGCCGTTTTTTTTTTATTTCTTATTTTTTTTTTGCGGGAGGTGGTGATAGAGAGGTATATTGGTTGGTAGTTTCGTTAGTTTGTTGGATGGTTGGGTTTTCGCATCATAGCATCAGTTAGTTGGCTATCTATTGTCACTCTGTGGTGGTAGTTGTTTTGTTGTTGTTGATTATCAATTATTTGATCTCTTCATGTTGTTATTTATGGTGGCGGTAATTTTATTAAATGTATCCCATAGATTTCATATCAAAATCAAGCGAAAGCGAAATTTATCACACAATCGAGTTGTAGAAACATCAACAACATCCGACGTTCGGCAATGTTGTTGATGACTTGACGCGTGCATATATTGACTTTAAAATGTATTTTTGATGGTTTAACACACATTTTGAAACCATTCATTACAAATATTTAGAATCTTTTTTTTTTAAATTAAAATTAGTATTTTAGTTCATTCACAAGTCTATTAGAACAGAAATGATTATTTATATTAACACATTTTTGGCATCATAAGGATCAAGACCCTTCTATATTCAAATAATTTATCTCAGCAATAATTAGTCTTTATATTGTTCGCAGTATGTTCACTTTTGTTTAAATCAATTATAAATTAATATTTAATAAAATAAAATTAGAATTAAAAACGTTGTACTCACTTGACAAATTATCCAGCATATATGTTAATAATTTCTGTGTACCGTTCGGTTCATTGTATATGGAGAGAAATTCCTTCTGTAATGGATTGCCCATTAAACCCAAAACATGCAAATGAAATAATTTGCCAATTTCATATGGCAATACGCGGAGAAAATTGTTATTCAATAAAAGTTCTCTGAAAAAAAGAAGAACAAAAGAACATAATTAATAAATACTAACATATACCCGCTACTTCGTTAGCGAATGTGGGATGTATTTAAACCCCTATATCGAGCATTATTAAAATTTTAGAACCATTTAGTACATATATTCTCCTTAGTACGTCTATATCTCAAACCTACACACCCATTCCGACCGCAAAAGATATCTACATCTATACTAAATTTGGTGTCATTTTTACCCTTTGTACACTTTCGTGATCGGTTCAGATTTAGATATAGCTCCCATATATATATTCGTTCGATTTAAGGTAAATAATGCAACAAAGTTCTTATAGAATATACCCCAAAGTGAAGGGTTTCATATAGTCGGCCCAGCCTGATTTTACTACCTTCCTTACTGGTTATCATATAGCATATGCATGTTACTTCGTTAGCGAATGTGGGAATAATTTAAACATGTATTAACATATGTTATTTTCGCAAAGTACCGCATATGTCAGAAAAACAAATAAATCTGCACATTAATATCGACCATAAATTGAATTTAAGTACCATTTAGTACCAAATTTCATGATTCGAGCTCTAAAGGTTCACCTAAATCCAAATTTTACAAAATTTTGTTCCATTTAGCACACATTATTTCCATAAGTACCCTCCTCAACCATCCAACAAAACTTCCTGTATACCCCGATCCTGCACCCTCACAATGATTCCAAATTCAAATTTCAGGATTTCAAATCTATTGGTTCACCCAAAATTCAAATTGTACTAAATATAGTACACAGTAGTACGAATTTCCAAAACTTTATACTTAACCCAAACTACACCCCCACAGTGATCCTTAATCCAAGTTTCAGGATTCCAACACTATCGGTTCGCCCACAATTCAAATTGTACCAAATTTAGTACACATTGGTACATATCTCAATTTTACACCTCAACAGTGATCCTGACTCCAAATTTCATGATTCTAGCTCTATGGGTCACCTAAAATTGCAATTGTACCCAATTTAGTACCATTTAGTACTCATAAGTATTAATTTCTTAAACTGAATCCTGGGGTCAGGATTCACACCCTTACAGTGATCCTGACTTCAAATTTAATTGTACCAAATTAAGTACACTTAGTACAAATTTCGAAAACTTCTTACATACTCCAACCCTGCACCCCACAGTGATCCCAAATCCAAGTTTCAGGATTCCAACACCATCGGTTCACTCACAATTCAAATTGTATCAAATTTAGTACACATTGGTACAAATTTCTAAAACTTCCTACATATCTCAATCTTACACCCCAACAATGATCCTGACTCCAAATTTCATGATTCTAGCTCTATGGGTCACCTAAAATTCAAATTGTACCAAATTTAGTACCATTTAGTACCCATAAGTAATAATGTCTTAAACTGAGTCCTGACCCCAATCTTACACGCCTACAATGATCCTGACTCCAAAATTCATTGTTCGCGCTCTATCGGTTCACCCAAATCCAAATTGTACCAATTATAGTACGATTTAGTACTTTTCGTACACATAAGTAAAAAATTTACTAAAGTACATACATATCCCAATCCTACACTCCGACAGTAATGTTAATTTCAAATTTCAGGATTCCAGCTCGATTTGTAACTCCAAAATAAATGTGTACCAAATATAGTACCATTAGTACTCTTCGTACACATGAGTAAACGCTTTCAAAACCATCTCCTGAAATAGACTCTACATCTCAACCATAATTCGAATTCCAAATTTTAAGTTTTTAGCTCTATCTATAAATTTTAGTAATTTTCGGATATTTATAGTTCGAATTTCCAAAAACCCCTTGGTACATCTATCCTACACTACACATCGGCGACCACCAATCCAAATTTCAGAGTTCTAGCTCTACCAAATACAAATGGTATCACATTTAGTACTTTTTGTACCGTTCTAGTACGAATTTCCAAAAAAACCCAGCCTTTTCTGTCAAAAAATATTTCTTTTAAAAATCCAAAAAAATCTTTAAAAAATCCACGGCTTGATTACGTTCTGAAAAAATATTCTTTTAAAAATCCACGCCTTGATTACGCCTTGAAAAAATATTCTTTTAAAAATCCACGCCTTGATTACGCCTTGAAAAAATATTCTTTTAAAAATCCACGCCTTGATTACGCCTTGAAAAAATATTCTTTTAAAAATCCACGCCTTGATTAGGCCTTGAAAAATATTCTTTTAAAAATCCACGCCTTGGTTAGGCCTTGAAAAAATGTTGTTTTAAAAATCCACGCCTTGGTTAGGCCTTGAAAAAATGTTGTTTTAAAAATCCACGCCTTGATTAGGACTTGAAAAAATATTCTTTTAAAAATCCACGCCTTGATTAGGACTTGAAAAAATATTCTTTTAAAAATCCACGCCTTGATTAGGACTTGAAAAAATATTCTTTTAAAAATCCACGCCTTGATTAGGGTGATTGGGTTAGGCCTTGAAAAAATTCTTTAAGAAATCCACTCACCTCAACTGTATTAATTCGCCCAATTCAGCTGGTAAGCTACGCAATTTATTACTCGATACGTCCAATGTGCGTAAATTTACCAATAGGCCAATATCGGCGGGCAATCGCAATAAATGATTATCATTTAAATATAATGCGGTTAAGTGTTCAAATTCCCACAGAGAAGGACTGATGTTACGGACGCAACCTGGAAAGGTAAAAAATTGAAAAAATTAATAATACAACTAAAAAAATAGAAATATTTCAATACCAACCTGTAATTTCAATGCCTGTCCAATTGGATTTTTTGCCAGCAGCCACATCTTCAGGTGACATAAAGATCTGTTGTCTACGATTTGCACTTTCATATTTGTCCTTGTTACGAGACATTTTATATAGGTTGCCTAGAGGTTAAAACAAAATTTATTGTTAGTATCATTGCAAAGTAATCATAAATTATAAATACAGAAATAATATATAGATGATAGAAATGTTGTGCTACACAATGAAATGCAAAGCGTTCTGCAGCAGCAGAGAGCGTGACGGAAATGTATATTCGAAATTGTACATTTAACATATTTAAATCATATTATTATTATTGTTTATTAGCCACACATTTGTTATGCTCTTGATAATGCTGAACTTAGTTAGGCATACACAAAAAATTAGGAGAATTTATTTGGTAGTTAGCATAAGGAAAAGTTTCACTGTGCAAGGCATTCATTAACTGCATATTTTTTATTTTTACACAAAGATTTATGATTTTTGCGGTGTTTCAATGATTACATGGATGTGCAACAACAGCAGCAGCAGCAGCTTAGTTTTATGTAATTTGTGTGATATAAAGAATGCAAGGTAGTAAATATTTTACATTGGGTCAGGTCAGGGGCTATTATTTTGTGTTAATCGTATGGAAGAATATTATCGGCGATGAAGAACTATTCTAAAATGTTTGCGCTATTATTCTCAGGATTTTTTGCACATCCATCACAAATTTTGTGCCCAAAATATATACATTTTATATATCGAGCCATATTCGCCAAAAAACGTACCCTCAATTTGAAATTTTACAGAAGGTTTTGTTTTAATAAATTCAGATTTAATAAAGCTATTATTTTGAAATATAGAACTATAGTTTAGTTACCAACTAGTTTTGTTTTAAACTATAATCCTAAATTTCAAAATAATAGATTTATTAAGTCTGAATTTATTAAAACAAAACCTTCTCCTGTAAAATTTCAAATTGAGGGTTACGTTTTTTTGGCGAATATGGCTCGATATTGTTGAAAATGATGAGTGGTACTGCAGTCGAAATTGAATATTTAAATATTTTAGGTTTTCGAATTACCAGAACACGAATTTAAGAGAATTTTTAATATGATTTACAAAACATAAAACGCATCCAATATCGAATGTCCTACTAGGTTTGGGAATTATATTAAAATTAGTTGGAAATATTTAAAGCATCCATAACACGGTACGTTAAACTATTGCCGCTAATATTGGATATTGCGGCTAGGTCTATTCAAATATTTAAAAACGGTCGGGACCGTTATATATTTTATTAAACATAATCGTGAGACTATGCTAAACAATGTACATGGGAATGCCTTTAATCCCTCAATAACCCGATCTGGAAAGTTTCTGTAATGTGGATTAGGAAATTGAAGTCACTTCAGCCGGAAAACCCGAAACGTCTATAATGAGATACTAGCGGAAAATGTCGGAAAATGCAGTTATAACTTTTAAAAATATAAAATCGGTTGGCTACTTTATATTTGGGCTATGTGAAAATATGCACCTATGCTAACAAATTACAGCCACAAAAATGGTGCAAAGTGATAGTCGAAATACCTAAAGCGAAGCGAGTTTAGCCCTGGAGTATTCGAATGTTTAGCCACCATAATATTTTTCGGCTAAAAAATAGGTAGGGTGACCTCGTTACTGAAATCTGGAAATGATGCAAACAAATATGTACATTACAGTGGACCAAATCAGACAATCAAATGTAAAATTTTTGGTGAGGTACCAGAAGGAGTATAGCGACAGGTCCCATCTTCGTACATAATCTAAGTACGGTAAAAATACTAAGTTGTACAAAGTTTTCATGAAACGGTTCGTTTCATTTGGGATGTACAAGATTTCAAAATGTGGACTCCTTTGTGGGAAAGGTATTAGAAGGCGTGGACCGCCTTCAACATTATACAGTCATAGTTAAAATATTAGGTCGTACAAAGTTCTGTTCAAATCTAATAGTCCGGACGCGTGATATTATTACGAGTAGACCGATGGGTCCCATTTTTGTGCATTATATAGATAAGTTAAATATATTACGAGGTGCAAAGTTTTAATGAAATTTGATATTCCGTTCACATGAGATGTCCATTTTTTTATACTCTTCTCCACACTGTGGTATATATTTGTGCATATGTTTGTAACAGACAAAAGAAAACGAGATAGACGCATGGTTCCTTTTGAGAATATGCATATAATCACTTTCTGAGTCGATTTATGCCGTCCGCCAACCGATTTAAGGTTGACGGATTTCTTTCGATTTGCACGAAATTTGGCATAGGATACTGAAATATGTCTGGAATGTCATGTGTTTAGTTTCGAGAAAATCGGTTTAGATATAGGTATAGCTCCCAATTATATATTTTCGTCCGATTTTAGGTAAATAGTGCACCAAAGTCCCCCTTCATATTCTCCTGGCATAGCGTACTGAATTAAATCTAGAACGATGTGTGTTAAATTTCTTGAAAATCAGTTCAGATTTAGATATAGCTCCCATATATATTTTCGTCCGATTTTAGGTGAATGGTGCACCAAACACCTAATGTTTGTCCTATTGACACGAAATTTTGCACCACTTTTTAAACTGAGAGTAGAATGAAGTTGTTGCGTTTTGTTGAAATTGTTGCCCGAATGAAATTAAATTTAGCGTAGCTTGCAGAAAGACATGAGTATGAAATTGTTAGGATAAATATGTACAATATACCCAAAGTGGTGAAGGGTATCATATAGTCGGCCCAGTCCGACTTTACTACTTTCCTTACTGGTTTTCGGTTAGAAAACCATACACAAATGCCGGGATCATGATTTTTTTTAATTCACTAATGGGTAAATAGTCAATCCTCCCAAAATGCTTATTGAGGGAACAGACTTCTAATTCACCGTCCAGACGCAGAAAGGAAGATCTAACGATCTAGAAAGGACTGTAGATCAACAGGTCTATCAAAAAGGATTGAATTGTATTCACACTGATGCAGTTGAGTCCATTACGATCTCCCGCTGAGGTCTGTTATACACATAATTTATTTTGAATATAAATATTGAGTTGTGAGAAGTTCGGATAAAACGGCATTCTAAAACAATAGGAGTTTTTTGGCCAGAAACCTTCCTAAATGCAAAATTTGGTCCACAACTGTGGCCTTTATCGTGTTTACAAATTATAATGGGCACACATGAATAGATCGCCTTAGCTACTCAAGATGTGGTATACTAAAAGGTGGGTCTAGGCCTAACATTTCGCGGCGTTACAAACTCTCGCGGTCACACAACGCTATAATAGCCTCACATCAGAGTTGGGTAGGGTATAAATTGACTGAGGACTGGACAATGGTGTGCGAATCGGAGTCTTTGAGTAAATTTAGGATGAAGTCGGAAAGATAACTATCTTTTGGATATAAATATCCAGCTGTCGTCTTCGAAGTCTACTATATAATTCTGGCTTAAAATTTTCGATATGTAATACCGGAAAAACTTGTAGAAATAAACTTTATATTTTAGTTTGAACGCTTTTTGTCGGAATATATATTTTATAATTAGCACATCAATTTGAAGGTTAAGTAAATATTTCCTACTTATTAAAATTTATGAGATTTTATTTAAGGTACATTAGTAAGGTATATATTCCTCCAATTCGAGTACGAAAAATCCATGTTTTTGACCTGGGAGGTCCTTATGGGTCTCTAATATGTTTCTACGTTCGGAAAAGCACCTTAATATACAAAAAAGTGTGTTTTATAGGATTAAAGAAAAGTCCTTATTTTTGATGGCGGGCATGATAACTCCTCACTGGAACATGGGAATCCGAAAATTCCAACGGTTTTAGAAAGGGTGCATGTCTGGCTCTCTCCAGAGGTTTTGAGTTATTGTGCCCGCTATTCGCAAAAACGCTGTAGAAAAATGCGTTTTAAGTTTCGGCTATATCTTCAAGAGTTCTTGAGATTTTCACTTGAAATTTCATAGGGACATTCTTGAATTAGTGTAGATTCGAATTAAATCAAAATACAAAATTAATTTTTTTGAAACCGAGAATGTTTAAGTAAGGGAAATAGTTTTTTATGAAAAAAAATCACATAAGTTCTAGTTCATCTTAAAACAATTTAAAAAATCCTTAGATTCCGCCTTGCTGTTTTACATTCAAATAATGGTAAAACATTAACATATCAGTCTCTTATTTATAAATAAATGGAATAATAAAGGTTTTCAACATTCGATGTCCTTTTCATCGCAAACCTTATTTTTGATGTCAGTTACACTTAAAATATTGTACCATCATCCGTCGTTTTGCATTTCACTGGCACAATACCTGCTATCATTAATTAAATGTAAGAACAAATTTTAAATATTACATTAAAAAATAATAAAATTATGAATATAGTAAAAAAATAATTTTCAAAAAAGCTTCTCTTAAATAGCATTTCAAAAAGAATTTTGGATTTCTTTTTCGAAAAATGAGATAAAAATGTAAAAAAAAAATAAATAATATTGCAATTAATTTACATAATTAATAAATACATTATTATAAAATTGTTTCTATATATGAAAATTGGAATAAATTATAACCTTTCATAATAACCGCCTGATGATAAGCGTCGCTGCAAAGAATATTAATAAAGTAATTGGTTGATTGATTAATATTTCTTGAATAATCGGGATACAACAAATATTTGTTTGTTCGTTTATTTGTTTGGTTGGTTGGTTGGTTGATTGGTGAGAGATAGTTGTGTAGAAATAGAATGTATTGCAGCTAGTCCTTGTTGTTTTGTTTGTTGTTGTTAAGTTGTTCTTTGGTTTCTTGTTTTTGTTGTTGTTCGGTTCGTCTGTTGTTTTATTTTTTATAAGCTTTGTTATTTGTCAAAAAATTGAAGCGCGTAAATAATGAAGTAAAACAGAAAAAATAGCTTGTAATAGATGATGATGATGAGATGATATGGATTATATATAGTGGTAGTAGTGATGATGATGTTGGATCGACGGATGCAAAATGATGTTTGTTATGATGAATCCTTTATTTTCTGTTGATTGTGTGTGTGTATTTTATGTTGTAACTAAAGAAAGTAAAACAAAAAAAGTAATTTGAAATAAAAAATGGAAAATATTTTTTGTGACATAAATAATGTTATTAATTTTATATTACTTTATTTAATAACGACATCTACTTAAGAGGCACTATCACAAATAAGAGTGAGAGAAGGAGAGAAGTAAAAAATGTATCTACAAGACAACAAAATTCAAAAATTTGTAAAAATATCTACTTATAATAATAGAGTAAGGAAATTAAAGTATGGAAATTAAAATGTGAAAAAAAATTCAACATTTATACTAAAAACGATAAATATAACTCTTTTAAATAATGTATTTTATGAAGACCCTAAAGAGAGGAGAGTACATCGCCTACTGTTCACGCAGCCTTTCATTATTTATAGAGAAATTTCACAAGGATCAAATATTCAGTTAGAAAACACATACACGTTCGTAAATAGATTGAGAGGTGCGGTCATTAACATAACTCTCACTAATATGGACGACTCTGGGGTTACGAACTGGAATATATGTGAAAAATGTTCCTCCTCGGGCCATAGAATGATATTTTTCCAAATTCCTACCTCCAGAGGAAAATAGAATCCTTATAGGAATCCTCAGAAGACAAACTGGTATAAATTCAACAATTGGTCTCAGAACAATTGAGGATGTTGAGAAAACTTTGAACAATGCCACGGGATATCGCAGTAGCTAATACTCTTGAGGTTTTTTTCCCAAGCTGAATACTACTACTACGAAGGCTGCTGTATACATTTCTAGCTTACGCTCCCTCAACGAGGAGACTCATAAAAAAACGAACGTAATGCCATAAAACATTGCATTAGCGAATAATGGAAAACTGACATGTATCATACTGCGAGATAGGGGCGCCCTTTGGTATTTTTTCTACCAAATTTACATTTAAACAGTCTTTTATTATTTATAGAGAAATTTCACAAGGATCAAATATTCAGTCAAAAAATATCTATGGCATGGACGCATAAATGTAAATATTATAGGGAGTGGCTATGGGTATATTTTGGGTATATCCTTCTGCAAGTTACAAATACTATGTTTAAACCCGGTGGTGAGCACGGATTGCAGTGAATGTTATGTAATTTTTGTTCTGGTCATCAACGGAATCTTCAAAATATTCACAAAATAAATATGAATGACCATAAAAAGATATTTTAAAACGAATTCGAAGACTTTCGGAAGATTTTAATTTAAAGCGTAATTTATCGAATATTTGATGTAAAGAGGGTACAACATGGCTGTGGAAGAACCACCCAAAAAAGAAAGATAGATCTTGACCATTGCAATTAGGTTCATTGTGCCAGAGTTCATTGTCTGGGTCGTCGAAGAACGCTTCAACGTTCCGAAAAAGATGACAGATGGGTGGTTTGATTGAGCTATCGATTGCTAGATCTGTAGATTGAGATCCACGTCTAGCTAATTCGTCTGCTTTTTCATTATCCGTGATGTTACAATGTCCTGGTACCCAACACATCCGATAGCTGTAAGTGAGTGTTTCCAAAACTGCTATACACTCGAGAACGACCTCAGATTTGATGTTGCACGTTTTGAAGGCTTTAAGAGCCTTCAAAAAAGAGACTATCCACAAAGATAGTCACCGGTTCTACGATCTTTGCATCCATTTCAGCTTGGAAAACACTACAGTTACTATCCATCTTTTAGGTAAGCTCAAGGCTTAGCCTTTCACAATAGACGCCAGCCCCCGTACCTTCCATCTTGAATCCGTCTGTAAAAAGCCAGACCGTGCTGCCTTAGTTCCGAGGTCACTTTGGAGATTTTTAGCCGAGCCGTCCGGTTCGGCAGGGGACCCGAACTTCCTTACGAATTTCATCTTGCCCTTAATGAGATGAACCTCTCTCTTCGAAAGCAAATTCACATCTCGGCACGTTTATAGTGCTTGGCATCGGATGCTTCTCGGGCAGTTTCGACCTTTGAATCTCTGTCCGTTGTTGGGGTCTCGATAGATTACCCATCGTCAGACATCGCTGTAGTCGCGGTCTGCTTTTGAAGCTTATTGTGGGTATTTGCCGACGCAGAACCTGTTGGAGTCAGACTTGAATTCGGTCGGCCAACAGGAACTACACTGTTTAGACTTGGCCGGAATCACCGTAGTGTCCAGCTCATCATCAGTTTGGCTAAGATTTAGTAGCAGTTCCTCCGGAAGTGTATCCACACTTTGCTCATCCGGTACAAGCCTGTTCAGCTGGTCAAAGAATTCTCTACTCTGTTCTTCTAGACTATCGCGAATAACACCCATGTAGGTCGTCCCCTCCCAGAATTACAGTTCTGTCAGTCGTAGACGGATTTGCGTCAGTCTTGACTAGCTCGTTTTCCATTTGAATTGTCGGGCCCTCATCTTTATTTGGGGGTAAAAATGATGCGGTTGTAGCAGGTACAGCTGCAAATGCCAAGGCATTCACACCTAGAACAGCCGGACCACAATCGCTTGATCTCGACGACACGTGGTTTGTGGTCTCACCAACGATTGCAGCTGGTACAGGGTTATTAACTCCCTGCACCGTAATTTTATATGTCCTATTATTTTTCTCCATCTTAGTTGATTATGTTAAGGGCACTACCCCTATCCATTTTGGTCCACGGAGGATCCAAAGATCCCCAAGGTTTCCACGAAGTGCAGAGAAAAGATTCGGCCGTAAACAAAATCGTAACAAAACGTAAACAAAACGGATATATCAAAATGTGAGCCAACATTGATTATTTTCCGTGTAATACCCAAAACGGGGCTATACCAATACGAGAACCTATATAAACATTTTCTGAAAGATGTTTGCATCTGCTAAATTATATCCAATTCGCCTATAAAATTCGAATATGGTTATTAAAATACTTATAAAAGGACGGAATCTTTAAAAAAGGACATATATCTAAAGCAGAGCTCCGATTTGCTCGATTTTACTCGCGAGTGAAAAATACTCCCGAGCGGGAGTAAGTAAAGAGTACGAGTTTTTTAGGGAGTATACTCTGCACTCTTTTATTTTGTTTGGAAGTGCTCGCGAGTACTCCTTGTTGAAGAAAAAGAGTGTGAGAGGAAACGTTCGAAATAGAGTAAGAGTTCACTCTAAGAGTGAAATCGAGTGGACAAATAAATTTGGTTGTTTGGTTATTTGTGTGTGTGTAGTACCAATTTATTTTATTTTTTTTTTTTTTATTTTGATCTTTTGTTTGCTGTGGGGAGATAGATCATTACAAAAATGAAATGACTTACATAAAGAGAACGCAGAAAACGAGCTTGTTGATGCATGCTTTCCCAGCAGTACTGCAAACCAAACATCACAAAACAAACAAACAATGCACACAAACAACATCAAGTAAAACAACGGTATCACAAAAAAAAAAAAAATAAAAAAAAAAATAATAAAAGAGTACTCGGCAAGAGTGTAATCTGCTCGATTTCGAGCGTATTTCACTCCCACTCGAAAACGAGCGAAGCACCTCCGCTCTTATTTGAGTGGCAGAGAAAAATAGAGTAAACTCTATTTACTTTTTCTACTCCAGGAGTTCCCTATAATTCGAGCGAGTTTCACTCTTTATTCGAATTCGAGCGAGCATTTCGGAGCTCTGATCTAAAGAGATAAAAACATGTCTGAAATTCTAAAAATACCGACAAATATGGAGTACCGTTCTATGTTGGCTAAACGTCAACCGATATCGATAATTTTTTATAACCCAAAATATCGAAGTAAAGCCAATTTGGATGAAAAACGTGTCTGAAATCCTCAAAATACTGAAATTTTGGAAGTATCATTAAGATTTTAAATACCAAGTATCCTAGTAGTAGGATCAATGTATCTTCCAAATTCCTGAGGATTATGAGAGGAAAACCAATCGACATAAATTTTAAATTCTTGGACGATTTTTGCTACAACGACGAGTTTTATACAAGAGAAGTATATTGTATCACATAGTCGCACAATTTCAGTGCCTTCTCTCCAATAGTATGTAACACTGAAAATATACACATTTTCAGAACATCTTCAAAAACAACATCTTCCTCACTTGCTGGTCATACGGATCTCCTAACATTATTCAAAAGAAGAAATTGCTCCTTGATACACAGAGGTTATAAGGTCAACAGAGGAGTGATTTTTACAGGATTGGAATATATTACAACAAATCAGTGGAATAGGTCAATGCAGAACAATTAAATGTCTCTTTTAATAGCCACCCAATTTTGAAACTCTAAATATTCTATAAACATATCACACAAACGTCAAGACAAGGCAACCTCTTATGACCTCCCTCAACCCCATACAACTTGCGTGCCTCTCTCTGTGTGTGTGTGTGTGATTGGTCTATCACATGACGTCATTACAACTTTCATTCGTGGTCCTGCTGTGGTTAACCAATACAAACATAAAGCAATTTGATAAAAATCAAAGGAAAATATTAACCGCATATGAATGAAAAAAAAGAAAGAAAGGAAAACACACAAAACAACAATAACAATGTCAAACTACTGGTGGTGGTGGTCAGTCAGTCATCTGTCTGACGACATTGTGTTTCATTCAATACTACTTTTTTTTAACTTCAAATGAAATGACCATGGAGAACACCACTGCATAAATCGGATGAAGTAAAAGCAAAAAAAAAAAAAAAACTTGAAAGGATA